TATATAGGCCTAGTAGCGATTTAGAATCGTATCAGTTGTATTTATTGTAAACATATAACATTTTAATTTTTCTTTATAATAATTATTTTTTCAATGCTTATTGATTCCTACGTTTACTGTACTTTATTCGGGAATGTAATTTCAGTGGGTGTGCATCAATGTTATTCTTTAAAAAAGCACAGTGAAACAGGCCGGGTATTGGGGCAATTTATATTTTTGTTGTATAACGATTTATTCAAAGTTTGAATGTTAATTTTTTTTTCTTTTTTTACAATCAATTACTCATATGATACAGACCTAAGGCTTACATAAAATACTAAAATACAGATAGTATTAAGTCTGTCTCTTATACACATCTAGATGTGTATAAGAGTACGGTATTATATTGATCTCGATATTTCAATTTGTTTTAATATTCCATTGATGCTTTTATCAGTTATTTTAATTTCAACATTTTTATTGTTTCATCGATTTTATCAATTTAATCTTTTTATATTTTCATCAATTTTATAACTTTTATGGAGCCTCGTCGCATGCGTCGCGGTCGTAAATGAAAATTGCAGTGCAACGTGCAAGTCCGATTCTTAGACTTCATTCAATGACAAAATCGAAAAAGACCTCCACTTCCAAATCCCGTAGAAAAACCAATATAGTATACATCGAGTGGATGTTGGTCCTGAAACGTCATGAAAGCATCCTCACCATTAATACCAACCTTTATCAAACCATTATCAAACGATATCCAAAACTTCGTAAAAACATACGGAGAGACAACAGTGTTGGTGGTGCTGGTTTCGCTGTTGCACTGTGCACAACGACGGATATAAGAGACCGTATTTGTGTTGCCTCCTATAACAATTTCATACATAGGATTCATAACCTCTGGCATTGACGACAGACAAATATGAACATCGCGGTAGGCAGCGACACTGAACTCGATACTTGATGTTCCGACTAGAAGTCTTGGATTGTCAAAGCGGTATTCATAAACTAATCCTGTGATGTATTCACTGCAAACTAAAACAAAAAGGCATAATGTGTAAAAACCAGTGGCGGACTGTCAAGGCAAGCAAGGTGCAGTGCACGCCATGGCTAAAACAAATAAAAAAGAATATAATAGTACAGTTTCTCCGTTTTATTAAGCATTCCTTAGTCATAATCGTCTATATAAACATTAATTTTTCGAGTGGATTGCTACAGTTTATTGGAATACCAAAGTTTTTCAATGTTTGGCCAACTTTGATATCTAGGATGAACACAGTCTGCGCTATCGTACTCAGCTGCTTAGAATTTCAGAGCATATACTTAATGGAAACGGTGCTTCCAAGAGTATGTGCGCACCTCCACTGCCGATCGGGAATTTGCATACATATGACCGGTATAGAAGAAACTTTTAATTATTATTATTATTTGAATAGAAATTTCTTAAAATACAGGAAATTCTCTTGTAGAGAAGATACACAACTATGCCGGTATTAAAAATGACATACATTTTTATTTTGACTATAGAATGCAATCTGATTCTGTATGGTAGTAGGCTTACGAACTTTTCCTACTAGCAGACCGTAGCATCAGTGGCGTAGAGGTCTTGAAATGGAAGGGAGCTGATGGGGGTGGGTAGTGGGGATCGGTGATTAGGTGAGGGGATAACTCGCAAAATAAGGTGATTTGAGGTGATTTTTAACTACTTGAGCATGATTTGTGGGCGGGGGCGACTGGGGAGATGGGCGAGTATTTTTTTCTGGGGAGGGGGGAGCGTGCGCGCCGCCCCTCGCACATCCTAGATATGCCAATACCTAGCATACCCTGCAATTTACTCTACGGTCCGCCACTGGTAAATGTAAAGCAATTAAACACGTTTTATAACGCAGCAATTCTCTTAAAACATAGGCCTGCAATTTGTTAATTAAAACTGTGAAACTATATGGACTAAATGACTAATTTTTATCCCGGTCTCAAACATCTTGGTGTTACTGTACAACAATCATAGAAATACACATTTCACTGGGTGAATTAACAAGAAAAAAAAAATGCGATTATTCTAAAAAATATTGTAAAAAAATGTCTAGGCCTATATTGTTGCTTTGGTTTGGAACCATTATGTAATGAGCATGTAGGCTTATAGGCGGCGCTACGGTAACTGATCGCAATATACTGTACCGTACTTGGTGCTATGACGTAGGATAGTGTAGGCTAGCATATAAAAAATGGCAAGATGTTAATAGCATGTATGTAATGTTTAATTTGATATTAAGAAATCAAGCCGTTGACTTAATATCTCCGTATTACACAGTGAAAACTGCCACCCGTTGATTTACAAGAGGTGGTTCTTTAGACTATACTCATGACAAGATATAAGGAAAGTTCAACAGATATTAACACATAAAGAAATAAAAGTACAACTGTCAACTTAAAACGCCAAATCAACAGTAGACATCTGCATCTGTTCATCAGCCACTGGGTAGCCAGGTTTCTATAGATCGAACTTCTGTTATTTTTAGTATTATGTCCTGTTTTTATTCACTTTTATAACTTAAATTAAGGTTTATGATATTCTCTAATAACTCCGTATTATTTAGTATTATATCCTGTTTTTATTCACTTTTTTAACTTAAATTAAGGTTTATGATATTCTCTAATACTCCGAAATGGGTAGTTGGAAGAAATAAAATAATGCTTTATTGTTATTATCATAAACTATATTAATAGGCCTAATTAAGCCTTATAAATATAAATGGCTCCCACTATTATTATTATTATTATTATTATTATTATTATTATTATTATTATTATTATTATTATTATTATTATTATTATTATTATTATCATTATTATCATTATTATTATTACAAATGAAAACATAAGAAAGAAATATGATGAAGTAATAATATATAAAATGCTTGTAGTACACCACGTAGAGGTGTTCTGAAATTGTTCTAAACTATCTACGTGGTGTTCTATAAGCATTTAATATAATTGCACTTGGTTATATAACTTACTGAGATTTTCGCATGATTGGTAGTCGTTAACGTTTTCCACAATATTACAACACACGTATTCATCTTGGCATGAGTATCCAACTTCCTGGTTATCTTTGCACCCAATATGACCATGGATACTGATCTGAAAGGTGATAAACAATAGTAGGCCTACATATAAGGATAAAAATATCCGGGCCCTGTTATGACATTGTCCATGTTTGTCGAGAGAAGGAATTACAGTTACATTGTGGAAGTAAATAACTGTCTGTTAAGCTCTAAACTCTTGAAACTAATATTGTATTTATCTCTAAATTTCATTTTTAATTTTGAGAATTAGACCTAAAATATTTTTAATTTTATCAGTCGAGTGTCATGTTGTCATATTGAATTCTTGGATCCACGGGTTTATTTCAAATACCGTACTCGCGCGAATAAGCGCCCCGTTTGAATAAGCGCCCCTCTCGAATAAGCAACGTGAAAATTTCCTTAAGCGCCCCGTTTGAATAAGCGCCCCTTTTAATTTGAATAAACGTCCCCTCAATAATTCAATCAATTCTGGACTGTGGATATTGCTATGATTTGAGGTGTGGAGTGGAATCACATTCTCCTTTAGTCAATATCAAAATGAGGATATTTATCTTGGACAGATGAGAGCTCTCTGGACAGACAGTATATTTCCAACTTTCATCTTCTTACTTTTTTCTATAGCCTAGTCCTACTGCTTTTCCGACAATTTGCACCTAATAACACATTCCCATCTGAGATTTCAAGAAAACCTGCAATTATCATGCAATCCTGCTAATCTCAATCGGCATGGCCAAAAAAGTAACCACCACCACTAATTTCATCTGCTATTCTGCTGTTATGTAATAATGTACTCACAACATTTTTGTCATGATAAGCCATGCTCTCTGGACGATTATCTTTTCCGCCAAACCACCATTCGTAATTTGCGGTTTCCTGATGTCCTTATATAATCATTTTTCATTCAAAATGTGCCTCTTGAATTTAGTAAGTTGTCATAATAACCCCTCGATTTTCATCTATTTCCATAAGCGCCCCCTCAATTTCCACTCTGTTTTGATAAGCGCCCCGTTCGAATAAGCTGAGCGCCAAGTTTGAATAAGCGCCCCTCAAAAAGTGCTAAAAATATTTTAAGCGCCCGGGCGCTTATTCGCGCGAGTACGGTACCTTGTACCGTTGCGTTAGGAGTAAGCAGTGTGTTGGTTGGGCCTACCTCGTACAGTTAACGTTTACTGTTATAAATCGATTTGCTTCAAAGTAAATAAAGTTAGGCCTACTTCGAACTGTTGAATTCCAGTAAACCATATACGTCACCTCGTACTAGTTACTGATTTAATACAAACCAACGCTGGTGGCGCACTCCATGATTTAATAATTGAATAAAAATAGAAAAATTATACTTTCTTAGATTTTAAAATTTTTTTAGTCCATTAATGTATATAACTATGTTATATTTGAATTTTGTCTGCCTAGCTGTCTTATTTTGGCACAAAAAAAAAAAAGGATAACCAGGAGTTTCCTGTGCATTTGTCAGCGTTTCCACCAGGCCAAATTGTAAACACCGAAATATATACATTATTCCTATTGTTGACTGATTTGATAGCATCTTGATTCATAATAAGCTAAGTTGTATATTTAAACTGCTCATAATAAGACTGCTATACTCGTACTGTTGACTGATTTCATAGTCTGCTAAGTAATTTAACCTACTCATAAGCCATACTGTTATACCAACCTCGTGTTGATGATCGTTTTCATAGTATGCTAAGTTACATATAAATGTTACTCAGAACCACGTTGCTATAGAAACCTCGTACCCTTGACTGATTTCATAGTATGTTATATAATTATAGTAGGCCATGTTAGAATCTGTGGTGAAGATATCTTCTTCAGTATCTTCACTGATTCCGTTCAGGTAACATGTATTCTTACCATCAAACTTCACCGATATACACACGGGCTCCATCATGCAATGCATCCCGCATCGGATGGCAGACTGTGTATGGACAAGATGTATCACGCGTATTTCCGATGGAGCGTTTTCCTTATGAACCATCAGTTTTGACCGAAAACAATTCGTCTCTTCTCTAGCATCTCTTACCAAGCTGGAAACTTCCACTATGAAACAACAATTGCAAATTTATATGCACAATTATTTAAAATGTCTATCGATTGGTCAATTGGCTAATCTATCCATTTCTAGTCATTCAATTTTACATTGCTAATGTAAAAATCAGCTCCTGTATTTGTCTAGTGTGGCTGTATTTTGTTTTACTACTTAAGCTTGCTTAATTATTAATGTATCATATTTTGTATGCTGACATGTAAACCTTTAGATAATAAGATCTTTGTTAATGTACTGTCCATTTTATAGAGATGTACAAAACTTCGAATGTTTACACCTATTTATTGTAAACTTGAGAGGCCTATGTTTTAGTTCATGCAATTTTTTTGTATGCTGACATTTAAGCATTTTAACAATAATGTTAATATGCTGTTCATTTTATAGAGATGTACATATCTCTGAATTGACATCTATTTGTTGTAATCTTCGTATTTTGTACCGGTATGTCTTACCTGTAGTCTCTATTTCAACGGATGTCGCCACAGGTTGGTCTTCATAAAGATTACACATATCGGTAAAGCAACAGTATCTACATACTGACGGACTTACAGACGGATGACATTGGCCATCATTTTGGTTTTGCTGGGTCTTGCATGAATTGTCCTGTTCACACAATTTTGTCACTATATGTAAACCATTTTCATCTCGGATAACATTACTGCATACCTTGATTATCATGAAGTATAGAAATATATACACTTTTCAAAAAGTTCATTATACAACATACCAAACATTTTCAGAAGTATTAAAAATTATACGCATTGCAATTACACATTAATTGTTTTAAATGCACATCAGATGACACTGAAAATGGTCAACATAATTTTATAAACCAGATTTAAGGTTTGGCTACTAAGAGCTTGTATTATTCCAAAGAAAATATTTGACTCTTTAAAATTAGTTAAGCTATATGAAACACATAAAACATTAAACGTTAAAAGATAATAAGTTAATGTGGACAATATACAATATATGCATATAAAAGTATACATAAAAGCGAGAGTATTCCAGTGGATGCGATCTACAACTTCTGAATTTGCCTAGTAACTATGAATTCGTCCAGAAAATGGTAATATTTTATGAGAAATAGTCTGTATTTCTCATTTTTTTTATTCTTTTGCGTAAACTAAAATTCATGCCAATATTTTTGCATGATTTGTAATAATTGGAGTAATGCAAATGAATATTTTCTAAAAAAAAGTCAGTTTTTAGTGAAATTTTGCCGGGAATGGGGCTTTAACTTTTACCAAACGCTTGGGTAAGACTTTTTATTCCTTGTTTCGCATACTTATTTTTTAAAAGATCATCGAATGAGGGCGGAATAAAAATAAAAATAACATTTTGTTTTCTTATTTAGAAAATAGTTTTGCCAAAAACATTAAGACGGAGAGGAAAATAAAAATAAAATTTAATTAGTGAATGTAAAATAGGATGGTTAAATCTTCAAATTTATATAATTAGGAAGAAATATCTTACCTTTGGAGATAACTAGGCTAGGCTACTGTCTAGTAGTAGTAGAAGGAGACCTGGGCGGCCTCCTGCCTGGCCGTAGGCGGCCTATATCTAAATTTGTTCCTTGAATTTTTAAATAGGTCTAGAATATTCCTATTAAATGTTCAGTTTGTTGTGTTAATGAGGGTCCATTGATTCAATGAATTCCTTAATTGTTCATACTTAATATTATTTATATTATTAAGCTTGTTTTACGAAAGTAATTTTTCAATTACAACTCAATATTTATCGCGGTGCGCGATGTATATTCGCGGTGACGAAAATGAGGATTTTTTTTGCACACGAACCTAAAAAAAAATCAAGCCAAGCGTCCACTAATTAATACTAATCGATCGCGAGGTTTGGTGTGCGAATCACAGATATATTTCTTCCGGTTTACAGGAATTACAGAGCT